TGGGCTGTAATCTTTGCTTTTATTTAGGAAGTTGTAAGGCTATATAATAGCCAGAGTTTGTTGAATTCAATAACAAGTCATTCTCCCAGATTAAGTGTTCTATTTCGTTTAAGTTCCTTGTGTCCCAACAGTTGTGGCGACTGGAGCTAAGTTATGAGGATTTTTTTTTAGAGAGAGTTCTTTAGGATTTTTGAAGGGAAATTTTGTGTTCCAATTGTTTGACGAGAAATTATTGTCTTCTAATTGTTTTGTCAAACAAAAGGTATCTAAAAAAAAAACGAATTAGTTTTATTGAACAAATTATATTTTACAATTTTCAAAAATTTCATCAAATCTTCTAAAGCATTGCTAGAAAAGCTTATTCGCGAGTGCTGCTATTTCGACCCCCATATTCAATTTTTCCACTCACTTTATCTTCTCACTTACCATGTAAATTTGAAAAAACGCAATCCTATCATCCACCTACCATTATTCCTAAAATACCCCTTAATTATTAATTCAAGTAAATTCTCTTTGATAAAAAAAAATAAAAAAAACACTATGATTTCCTTACCTTTTCGCTGGAATTGTTCTTTTCAACATCTATTCTCTTGTTGTTTTCTTCTTCATAAACAATTTGATTGAATGAACATAAGAGAGAAGAATTTTTTTTGAGAATTGAGTTCTAAGCACTCAGGAGTCACAAGAGCAATTGAGGAGTCACATGCTTTCTTTTTCTTTATTTTTTTCTTTTCTTTTTGTTAACCGATAGAATAGGTGAGTTACGTTAGTTGAGGTTTTTTCCTAAGTCCTTAAAAGTCATTTTACTAAAATGTAAATTTTTCTTTAAAATTCAAATTTTGAAGATAAAATAGATGAGGATATAGGACATAGTGAAAATAGCAGAACTCTTCTTTACCATTTTGCGCTAGGAGCGTTGTCCTATTGTTTTTATACGAGCACTAGGTGCATTAAATAATATTTTATTTCTATTAATTTTATGTCACAAGTCAAACAAATTTTGACTTCTTAGAAAGCCAAACTCAATAATCTTATTTTTTTGGGTCAAAATTCTAATTTCCATTTTTCGGTAAATACCACGAGGTGTCCCCACATCCTAAGGACGAGATTAATCCCCGCTAGAGGTTCAACTTGCCCCTGGCCACTAATTTCCATTTTGATACAATACAAAAGTGATGTACATTTCTAACTCTTTCGGGTGCTTTAAAATTTATTTTCTAATTTAACTTTTCAATTTTTAAAATGATTATTTGGTTGATTCTTAATATTGAAAATATTTTTTGACAACCAAGGTGGTTGGTGTGAAGTGGTTCGGCACTCTCATTCCTTAAGAGAGGTCAGGGGTTCGATCCCTGCTCTCGTATGAAGTCACCACTTTGGCCAGAACTTTACTCCTTACAGGTCGACCCAATGTGAGCGGGGATTAATCTGGGTTGTGGTTAAGACTTAAAGGTACCACTCATAGTTAGGGCCTATCTAGAACCACCTCGTGGTTCAGACAAAAAAAATATATATTTTTTGACATAATTAAATAGTTCCATAACTTGAGAAACGCCGACGCCCCGCGTGTACAATTTCCCACGTTGACAAAATTGCCCCTCGAGAGGTTTGAAGGTGGTACTGCTGGCTCCTCTGTGGTTGTGTAAATAATCCAGGTGTCTCGCGGTTACTGGTTGTCCTCACCTCTCGTGCACCCACAAACGTTTTTATTTTTTATGCCTTCACCAAATTATGACACATTATATGATCAATCGCTGACGCGACGCCACCATCATGCCTCTCTCTCTCTCTCTCTCTCTCTCTCAAACAGTTACTTACAATGCTTCGCACGCTCTGCCTCATCCCAACTCCCTCCTCCTCCTCCTCCTCCTCCTCTCTCACCACCTCAAATCCCCATCCTCCCTCACACTTCATCAAGTTCCGTACATCCTACCGCGAAACCCTCCGCTATCTCAAAACGCTGCGTATCATCTCCCCCGAAACCAACCCCAAAAAGCTCCCCCTCCCCGACGCCACAGACCAAATCCTCTCCACCGTAAATTTCCTCAAGTCCAAGGGCTTTTCCGACCCCGACTTCCCTAGGCTCGCCTTCCTCTCCCCCAAGCTCTTCTCCCCAACCCTCGACCCCACCGACATCGCCCCCGTCTTCGACTTCCTAGCTGCCGAGCTCCCCGCAGACCCCTCGTCCTCCTGCGGCCTCATCCTCCGCTGCCCGGACCTCCTCTTCTCCGACGTCGAGTTCTGCCTCCGCCCCACGCTGCATTATCTCAAACAGTTGGGGCTCGAGAAGCTCGGGGCTCCGACGAATTTGAATGCACATTTGTTGAACACGAGGGTGGAGAAGCTCAAGAGGAAGATGAGGTTCCTGAGGAGTTTGGCGCTTTCGTACGAGGAGGCAGCGAATGTGTGTGTGAGGCTGCCTGCGATTTTCGGGTACAGCGTGGAGAATAACTTGCGGCCCAAGTATGAGTACTTGGTGAAGGAGATGGGGAGGAGTGTGGAGGAGTTGAAGAAGTTTCCTCAGTATTTTGGGTTTAGTTTGGAGAAGAGAATAGTGCCAAGGCATTTGCATTTGAAGGAGAGGAATGTTGAGATTCCGTTGAATAGGATGTTGTTGTGGAGTGACCAAAAGTTCTATGCCAAGTGGAAATAATAATCAAACAATCAAAATGTTAGGAGACCACACGTGTATAAATGTGATCTCCTTAGCATTAGTGTATCTAAATAGGTGCACAGGAGTCCGTTTGCACCCATGTTAGATTAATTTAGTTAAATTTAGATTATCGTTTGTATAAAATAAATAACAAAAACAAAAACAAAAAATGTTTTGAGTTCTTTTTTATTCTAAAATTTTTATAAGAGAGGGAGAATTCGAACTTCAGAAGTGAGGAGAAACACCAACGAACAAATAACTAATAGTTGCAATGAGGTTAGATTTGAAAACATTTGAGTATCCGTGTGTGCGAGTTTAGGGTTTTCTTATTCTTCAATTCGGTTCATCAAGAACTGAAAATCAGATCTTTTATCATTGTTGTATAAGCATGGATCACAAAATAGAAACTGAAACCACATGCTCAGATAATGAAATAGAAATATTCGAAGGGGATTTGTAGCAAGAAGAATATCGAAACTACAACTTAATAGAACTTGGGCAGCACACAGGCCTTTCAAAACGTTCAATTCCTTTCAACTGCTTTCCATCAACAACCACCTTTAATGGTACAATTGACACCCAAGTAACACATTTTCTCATTCATATATTCCACTAAACTCAGTTTCAAATGAAAGATGTTGATGCCTTCTCATAGTCACAACCAACCAGGGTGTTCCTAAATCATTGGATCCCTTTTTTGGCCAAAATCATTGAATGTTTATATGTCATAGTGATGTATATATTCAGAATCATGTGCATGGATGATGTGGTGAGGTCAAACCATATCGGTTGCTTACTCCTACTTGAATCACTTTGACCTGTTAATGAACGTTTCCCCATTCTCCTGTGAAGAGTAATCAAAATTATTAGAGAGACGTATAAAGGAGAAGAAGAAGAAGAAGAAGAAGAAGAATTAACATCCTACAAGATCAATCCAGCAGAACAAGGCCTTCAAATTAATTCAGCAGAACCAAGGCTTTACATCCTGAACAAAATGTCATTTTGCCAATATAGAGCCACATGTGGGTTTGTTCTGCTGAATTAATTTTAAAGCCATGCATGTGGGTTCCCACAATAAATGCATAAGAGAGAGAGCTCTCTCGCACACACAAGACATAGAGAAGAGGGAGAGGGGCAGGAGATCAGTGCAAAGCTTCCACGCAAACAAGAGAGAGGCAGGGCAGGGCTGGGTGAGAGTTTCATAGACAGGGATTGCCATTTACCAGATATTCAGAAAGTCAGCTTTGTCTTGTTAAAAGTTCAATGTCCACTCCAACTTCAGCAATCTTGGTTTCTTTCGAAGCCTTTGCTATTTTAGCAATGTTTTCAACATCAAAGTCGATAGCTATCTTTTTCACAAGGCCCTCAAGCATCTGTTTTAGACAAAAAAGCAAGATCATCATAGATTCAAGGTAGTAACCAAGACTGCTATATGACACTGACATGTCAATTATTCTAGCACAAGTATGTTCCCTAAACTCCATAACATATAAGTATTCAAAACATACCAGTGATCCGATGGCAACTAAAGCTCGAAATTTTGCATCAACTTCTAGATTTTCCTCTTCTGCAATCTGCAAAAGTCAAAACATTACTTTCATGATTCTGACATCTGAATATCTAGTATTAAAAAGATACTCTAGTCCACCTCAAAAAGAGCAAGGACCCTCTTTATCCATGTTCACCTTTTGAGGACATTAAATTTAAAAAACACGAACTGCCAATGAAGGGGCAATCAGAACAGTAAACTGGTAAGTTGATGTATTATACCTGAAGTGCTGCTGAAAGAACCTGCGATTGACCTTCCTGATCCTTCTTTTCGATCAACAAAACAGCATAACTGTCAAGCTCAAAGGAAAAGGCCAAAAGGTTAATATCTAAACTCAATCAGTTACAGCACAGTAGTACAATTATATACCAAGTTGAGCACATTATGTCAACAAACATATCCCTTTCCAACATTAGTTGCCATTGCAGCCTTCGTTTTTCCTATAACTTCGAATTATCACAAAATTGGAGAAAGAAAGAAGGGGATGGAAGAACAAGTGGTATCATGTAACAATACATGTGCAGTCAATAGAAAACTTACTTGAGAATCAAGGTTGCGTATGATAACTGCAAATTCTTATTCGGAGATGAAGAACAACTTGAATACACATCTAGAATCTGCAAAGCCATTCAACAAATCAAGTTACTAAATCGTGATATATAGAATTCAAGATGCACTAACCATGACAAACTGTGTACCTCCCCATAACAGTCAATATTTAAGTACAAAGAAGCAAACACACATTTTTTTAGTACTTCTATAAAGTTTCCTACAAAGTTACCACTAGATAATCTAGTTTAATGATTTATTCAGGAAACTGTTCAAATCGAACTCAATTAATGATTCCTGAAACAATTGCAAGATGTTCTAAACATAAAATCATTCATCGAATAAATAAATAAATAAATACAACACACATTTAATTTACATGTTGGAAGCAGTACAAAATTAATAAACGTACTGTGGTTTTGAATTAGGTTAGCATGCAATCATTAAAAAATAAATAAACATCTGAAATTCATATTGCAGCATGCAGCAGAGTAATGCCTCCCCAAACCTTGAATTGCAAAAAGAAATATATCAAACTATTTATCAAAAGTACTGGACGGAATAAAAAGACATAATCATTATAAGAAGGTACCAAAATGTAATAGAGACCCTTATATACGAACCAATCCCAAAACATGGAACTTACTAAAGGTGAAATTTGAAAAGATCTGTGAGCACTTTACAGACAACGATATCATGCCCAGTATTGAATTTCAATTGAATCAACTAAAAAGCTGATAGATATCAAGAGATAATTAACCCTACCATCAACAAAGAATTGAATGTTTGTAAGCAAAGAACATGTAAAGTGCAAACCAGAAATGTGACTGGGAAAGAGCCCATTAGCCTCTCAAATCACTAAGAAACCCCAAAAGCAATGTTATGTCAGGAACCAATTGCAAAGGAAGGCTAACCTCACTGCGATGCTTTTGTAACCAATTGTAGTAGCACGAATTCTTGAAAAGATTGGTCACAACACGAACACTAGTTAAGAGATTAGCAGGAAGTGAAGGATTTGTTGCGACTCTTTTGATCATTTCCAATAGTAAATCTGGTTATAGTACAAAACGTAAGAAATAGAGAACTTGAAATAAAAACATCATCAACAGAAAGTAAGAAGGTTGCAAATGTTTGACTTGTATCATATGTATACGTCTGGAGAAATCAACTTAAGAATGCTCCTGGCCTCATCATCTAGTCCCATTTTCTTTTGTACAAGTGTCTATTGATATGTATTTTTACAATTCATAGAAAATAAATGAAGGTGAAACAATTATCTATTTCAAATAAGAACTATCTGATTACTGTGAACCAATTATCAAGATAAAACCATAGGATGGAATATGACTAATATCATTACCATTCCGAGCTTCAGCATGCTGGAGAAGTACAGTTGCCCCATCAGGGTGCAGGACAATCATCCTCAAAGTATCAATAACTGAAGATGAAAACAAAATATCCACTGAATAGGCGAAGAAAGTTTCTGAAAACTACACACCAACAATCATAAGCATTCCACAATCTACATAAAAAGCCATAGCTTCATGATATTCTCTTAAGAAACTGCTAAGTGTATAATGACTCTTATTACCAGATCTCCTCTGAAAACGGAGATGTTATGAGTAGTCACATCACTTATATGACATCACATGCAGGACTACCACATTAACTTTTTTGAAAATGAAAATTTCACTACTATACACACTTACACTGAGACCATTCATGTAACTTTCTCTTTTTCTCTATTGTTTGTTCTTTAGTGTTTCTTTTAACCTGTAGCTTTCAATCATAAAGCTAAGAATTCACTTAAGCTTCATACCAGTAGTGCAGAGAAAATGTGGTAACTTGCCATTACAGTATCACGCCCAAGACACAACCAGACACAAGCCAGCTCAACCAGTTTCTATCAATTTGAGATTGGATAGTCATTACATTAGATAACCAGAACCGTCCTGTTTTTTCAGTTCATTCTTGGACAATGGTTTCTATGATTGTTAAATTGTAATAGTTTTTTTGTTGAAGATTGTTCAATTGTAATCTTAACGGATGGAGTATATGCTATGCACTCCTAGACCAAAAAAGATATGAAGAACAGAGCTTTAAACAAAATTCATCAGAAGTCCGCACACTAACCTGGAAATAACATTGCAACTGGCCATGATTTTAGCAACCTCAGCAACATAGCACTGTCAACTTCAGCAAATTTACTAGAATGATAATGTGACGTGTCCTTCAATATTTTAACAATAGCAACCAGCCTGGAAACCTCCACTTCATTTAAAGACAAGTTCTTCTTTTCCTTCAAGATATTACCAAAGGCCATTATTCAGGAAATCATATTTTGCATAATATAAAGAAACACAGTTCTAAAACAGAAAAACAAAAAATACTAGCACCAAGCTGCTCCTCAAGTCAGGCTAAACAGATCGGAAATTCAAAAACAAAACAAATAAATTAAAGGAAAAAATTAAAAATTAAATTAAAAACTCAACACCCTATCATGCATAATGAAAGGAATAAGAAAAATGAAAGATGACTACAGAAAATTAATATCAGAAAACAGTGAAAATAATATTAGGAACCTCAATAGTTTCAACAAAATCCATGACCGATAGTATCATCCAGATCCAAAAACTATTTCATTCCCTTCTACCACTCGAGGAAAGAATCAGTTACATATAATGATGCTTACTGTTGGTCTAGAAATTAGATTGTCACAAACAAGTGATTTGGACACGGTGGACTCAAACAAACCAGTCACATATAAATGGGTGGTAAGACCCAAAGAAAAATACAAATTTTAAGAATGCAGCAAGCCTGCCAACTTAACAACGCTTCATCTACAAAGCTTATGATTCAGTGCTTGCTTGAGAGCAAAAACTACGAGATAACTTCTTATATGTATCACCGTCCAATTACAAATTATCAAAGTTGTCAATTGTTCATGATATTTAGAAAGAGGGCCGAGGTAGCTTAAAATATATGTTGAAGATGAGGACAGCAAATAGGAAGTTTCAAAAATGAACAAGAATAATTGAAAGGTTGGTGAAAGCTTATTAAAGGAGAACTTCCAAAAAGTTATGAAGAAGGCAGAGTCTGCTACAAAGGAAATTTGTACAAAAGACTAAAGCTATTCCATTCCGATTGAGTGGTAACAAGTTATAACGCTGGCATCTAGAGCAAAATTTCAATTTGTAAGAAATAAATATAATTTCAAAAACAAACTGAAACTTGCAAACTTGCAAAAGAACCAACCTGGTCAGAGAGTAGGTTATTATTGAATTCTGTAATCTTCTTGAGGATTCCATCAAACTGAGCCACGTCAAAAACAAGCATTCCTTTCTGGAAACAAAATCATTCAAAGAAAAAGATGCTATAAGTATGACACTAACAAATGCTCAAATTTCTTGAGGGACATGAAGAACGAAACCAAAACCACCAGAACAAGTAAAAAAGCCCAATTTGCAAACCCATCCACGAGAAGAATTGATCTTGAAATAATGAGTTCAAGGTAGAACTATGACTACCAGTAATAGCCTTTAAGAATAAAGCATTCACAATGCTGACTAAACTCCAGTAATCTTCAACCACAACTACTCGGCATCAGCTACGGAATTATTAATGGTATAAGAAAATTTGATGATAGTGCACAACATCTAATCTCTTTCCTCTTTTCTCCTTTTCTTTCCATTGAAGGGGAAAAAAACTTCTAGCCTAAAACTAACTATGTAGTCCAAGAAATTTGCAATGTATATCCCACTCTGGCCCCAGAACTGAAACTCCTGAGGATATCCATAAAATTTCAAATGGAGTAACTGCACAAATGGATCAACACTGCTCATTTCTAGAAGCTAGATCGAAGTCGTTTTACACTGCTTTGCCTTCTCCAATATGGTTAGCTTCTAAAACCCATTTATTAAGTTGGATTTCCAGATGATACAATATAATCGAATTACAGCATGTAAGTTTATACACAGAACACTTGTTATAGTAAATCATTTATCATTAAGTTAGTCTCAACCACATGGGTATGCCAAGCAATCTCATATCAAACTGGGTCTATATCTAGAACCCTATTTTAGAAGTACTGAAGCGAAAAGCCTTCATTAGTATGAGAAGTGTACAGAGCACAGATCAAACACAGAACATAAATATGACCAGCCGATACTTTTTAATCAACTTAACCTGTGCGTGGAAATTGATGCATCCCAAACCTTAAGAACAAGAGCTGCAAAAGCCTACCTTAGGAACATGTTTGAAGGTAGGTTTTGCAGAAGCTGTAACCAGAAGAAAAATAAAATAAAATAATTAGAAATCAGGTATTGACATAGTTTATAGTTCAATATATATATATAAAAAATTAAAAAAAAGGCATCCCGAATTCAATTAAAGAAAAAGAAATTTAAAAGGATACATACCAGACTTGTTTGAAGATTGTCCAGGTACATAAGCACTAGCTGAAATAAAGGGGGAAACAAGGACACAATATTACACATGAATCACCACCATATCAAGATTAGATGGTCACAACTCAAAACAGAATACTTACACCCAGTATAGGGATCACGAAATGATGGATCAAGTGTGAAGTCTTTCTGTCCAGTATTTTGGAGAATGAAAGCTACAACCTGTTCCCGGTAGGAAAGAGGAAGATTCTCCTTCAGAAGCCACTTGTCAGCAGCATCATATGGATTATCTGAAGATAAAAAACTCAATGCATGACTCATATTCTTGAAATAATATTGTTGACTCGCACCAACTACAACTAAGGGCTAGAACTATTGAGAAAGATAAGTGTTCTTTATTCATGAAGTTCTTAATTTACAATCAATAAAATCATAAACTTACAAGATTCCAAGATCACAAACTAATCATCATTGATTACTATAGAAATTAGATTCCTTGTGAGCAAAAATTATATATTCAAATCAAAAAAATTTACAACAGCCATTAAAAAATTTTGTTTTTAGATTTTCCTATATCTCATCTTCTCAACAGATTAGAAGATGGCGTGGTTAGGAAAACAAAGGATGAAAGATGTCCACAAACAGAGTGATTTAAATAAAATAAAATAAAATACCACTAAATGAGTGGAAAATAACTGAATAACAAGAAAGAATCATATCGAAGGCAGGGCTACAAGAGGACAGATACAATACCTGATCGATTGTAAGGCAGCTTACGAATTGGTTCACCATCTCCAATGTCGACATCAAATACTGAAGAACAAGAATATATATGTACGGATTTTCAAAATATATATGTAGAAAAAGAAAAATCAGACTACAAGTTGACACATAGAGTAAGATTCTGACCATGGTCATATTCATTTCCATCAAGAACAGGACGCTTCATGCCACCATCTGGCCCATCAACAACTTCGCCAATCTGAATTGAAAGAAGTCAAACATGAAGGTTCCCAACTTTTGAAAGCAGTATAGACTAACATCACCAGCATGGAAACATCTAGTTAGCTCTTGTTTCATTTCTTTATTTAGGAAGCACATCCTCATGACTTAAGGTACTGTAAGCCCAAAGTTTTTAGCATATAAGTCATTTGATTTTTCTCACAACAAAAACTGTTTCATGAAAAATTTAACTTTTCTCAAAAACACAGTGGTCTATTTCTCGTTACAGACTACAACAAGACCTATGCAAAAAGAGGTTCAAAACTACTCGTGCCCTTTATGAGTGTGTTTGTGTGTATGCTGCAAACAATTATGCAGCCGTTACCTACTTCAACTGCTCAAGATATTTGCGTTGGTTTCAAAGCATCAAAATTCAAGGCCATTGAGTCCTCAATAGCTTATTGGAAAAGTAGCCAAACTACAAACACACCCAAAAACCAGTGGCCAAACTAAATGCGACTGATACAACGGCTTATACTAATACAACTACTATAAGTCATACATCCTCAGATGGAAAACACAAGTATTAGTCTGAAAATGTAAATTACCTTATCCCACTTCTGTTCTCTTATATTCCATGCATACGCCACACCATTGTCCCCTTCTCTGACAACTTTTGTCTGGCCACCACTGGTTCCTGATGACAATACGACCAGACAACATTACTTGATGTGTGGTTTTACTAGTCAAAAGAATACAACATTTACATATTGTTGGCAACTTAGCAGAGGCTCTCACTTGGCAGCTGCCATGGAAACCACATACTAGAGTAGAAAATGTTATACTTTACTAACATAATACTAAGCCAAAAAGACTTGTCTTCCTAAAATTGAAATAATTGTACAGAAATTGAAAATACAAATCTGTAAAATTTAAAACAATAAAAATGTGTGATAAACCAAAATGGCGAGCAGAAGCCAAAAAGTCACTAGAGAAGAGTAAAACTGAAATTGCACCTGGAATCTGTAAGGCCTCTAGCCCAGGTAATTCTTCCAATTTCAACCCTCCAACCCTCTTCCTAAAAGAAACAAGTCATTACATAAATACAAGTAATAAAGGTGAAGAAGATGAAACAGTCAACAGCCAAGAAATAATGTATGAAATCAGAAAAAACCAATAAAATTCAAGTATATATTTTTGGTCCGATTCAAGTATGTATTTGTATATACAGATAAGTGAAGAACTTTGGAATCCAAACAAAGAAATGGGCACTTCCATAAAGGAAAGGGGAAAAACATTAATTGAATACTAGAGAGAGAGGAAAGAGATCACTAGAAGACAACATATGACTATTAGGTAACCCTTAAAGAAGGAACTTTTAATATTATACGAGATTATAGTCAGAATAATCATGGAGCATTGAGAAGAAAATTGGGTCAAGCACATGTTATTAGGCATAGCAGATTCATAGCTGTTACGTCACATACACAAAACAAGAAGATGGAAATACCTGCTAATTTTGTGCTGAGCAATCTGGGAGAAATATAACTCCACTTCTAGGGCATCAGCAATTTTATCCTGATTTACTGTCCAGATACGTGCAACTCCATCAGAACATGCTGTCGCAATATCCCCATTTTCTAAGAATTTTGCATCCCAAACACAGCCAGGATGCTCTATGCTCTGCACGCAAACTCCATCTGAAAAGGACATTATTTCCCGCTTAATTTAAAGTGCTAATTAACATTTCTGGTGCTTTCTACAAAGAAATTTTCAGTGGCAAACATAAAAGAATGAATCTCGATGTGCAAGAATCCCTGGAGTAAGTGTGTGAATCTTTCTTTTTACTCCCCACAAAGCAGGAATTGCTTAAATCATTACCAGGTTTAAAAAATTAATCACATTCACATCTCTCATGTATTTTTTCCAAGAAACAAGAAGCATTAGGCAGTCACCTTTCCATATCTTAGCAAAACAATCTTCGCTGCTACTGACTATTAATCCAGACACATGTGAATCAACTGAATATACAATTGAAGTATGACCAACCATCTCCATTAAAACTTCACCGCTTAGAGCCCATAACCTAATGGAACTGAAGATGCCAACAAAAAGTAAAGTTATGGAGAGCTTACCCTAGTAGAAACGATAGAGCATTTATTATTTAGTAAGTTTACAAACAAGACATTTGATAGCAACACATGTAAACTTTAAAACATAAATCCCAAATAATATTTTAACCACAAGAGAGAGCAGCAAAGACTCAAGGAAATCAAACAATGTGGTTGAACTTTTCCTAATAAGTGACACATGTAAAGAAATATAAGCCAAATTCTTCAACTTTTTCCAAACATTTTAATTATTGTCAAAATTTTCCAAAAAATATAAGGTATATACATACCCTGTGTTTATTCATGTATGTATCTTTCCATATATGAACATATCTTCATACAACTATATGACCATGTTGAGACTCTAAGCAGTAGTTAGGATACATTGTACAAAAAGCAACCTTTTTAACAGGTCCAAATTCATACCAGAACCAAAATTCAATTGTTCATTTTCGGAATGCTTCAGTTCAGTAGACAAGCTCCTTGTTATAGTGTCTAACAATCAAGATTTGTCGATATGATTTCTGTATGTTATCCTCAATAAACAAAGCTATCAAATATTCTATTTGCAACCTTTTTTATATATATGTTTGCTTTTCTTTTGGATGTTTTAATTTTATTTTGACAACATACTAAACTAAACATTACTCATGCCCTACCAACACTAAGATATGCCTTCAGGATTATGTTCATTTAAACTATATCCTCAAAGCAGAACCAGCAATTCAATATAAAAAGATACAAATGCAACAAGCTCACCCATCATGTGAAGCAGAAAGAATTCCCAATTCAGACATCACTGCCAGACCTCTAACAGTATCTGCACAATGCATTAGTATGTATAGATCATAAGTAACTGCAAAACATTATGTGCAAGTCATTTTTTCTAAATAGAGCTATGCATTTGATTTATTAAAACATTCAAAATTTTAAAAATATAAATATAATATTTTAGATTTTAAATATATTTTTTACAAATTCATTTTATAAAAAAGAGAGAGAGATATCCTATGCAAGTCAGGAGTGCAAGTTATCTTCAAGTCAAATAGTCTTTGTAGCAACCTGTAATCCAAATGTTATCTTTCTAGCTCTAGTTTAGTATACTATAGCAATCAGAATTTGGGATTTAGCATAGTAAAGCAGTCTCTTTATCTTCTTATTAGGTAAGCCACAACGTCGAAAATGCCCAGACACTTTGACATTTATTCAGGACCTACAAGATGGCCTAATAAAAGTAACATACAAAAATAAAATTACCTGTATGCCCAACAAAAGTGTGAGTGCATGTACTTCCTCTCCAAAGTTTTAAAGTAGTATCACTTGAACCTAGATAGAGAAAACCGATTCAGCATCATTGTAAAGAAAAAGCTGGATCAAGCATTTGAATCTGATGTAGAATGTGATTAATTTGGCCAGCTCAAAATGAAAAGATGAAACAGGAATGGATAAGCCACCTTGCTACATGTGAGGGCACGAGAGTAAACCTCATGCCATTTTTGGTTTTCAGAAAAGCAGTCTCGCATAACAGATACTGAAGTAGACACGTAAGCAGGGCATACAAAACAAAACAGTTTTTGGGAAGCTTACCATGGCATAGTTGAGTCTTATATTTTTTGAATTATAGTGTCCATTCTAGAATTCACAAAACTAAAATTGTTCCCATTGACATTATGACCAACTTGAAGTCTCGAATGAACTACAGCGCCACTAGGGCACATGATTAGCTGCAGCCAACTTTCAAAGTTCTCACAGCCAAGAAGCCAGGAACTCCTGTCCAAACAACGAGAGCTTACAAAGGCAGGGAGCATTATGATCTATTTCTTATAAAAGCATGGAGCATTTTGATCCTAACAACATTGTATCACATAGCATACATATCAGCTACATAGAGAGTGCCTAAAATGTGCAATGTGCCACTTTACAATCCCCAAAGCTGTAGCCACCATGCATCACATGCCATGCAAAGGTTTAAACCTATCCAACTCAAGCCAATTGCTCATGAGAAGCAAGCATAACAACTGTGTTCAGCTAATCCCTGGCTGGCTTAGCAAACTCCCTCAACCACAATATTACCCATCCTACCACTGCTGCAGTCTTAAATCACAAGTCCAACAGCGTTCTTCAATGGCCGGATATCAATTGCTCACTGGCTCAGCTAGGCCTAAGAGTTGACAGTTGACTAGTGTGCTTCTACAGTTCTACTAACTTTTAACAAAAATACATGCATACAAAATGAATCAAATAATTACGATTACAAGCCAGAAAAGGGGTTGTTAAAAAGGAGGTCCATAAATTCAGTGAAACCAACACCTCAATACTTTTTGGGGGAAAAAGAAAAGAAAGATCACAAAAAGTGAATAACCATACCCGTGACAAGCTCGCCCGAAGGAAGCTTTACAACTGCTTGGATCGGTGCCTTATGAGCCTCCCATGATTCTAACGACTGGCCTTTCCTCCACCGTCTTAAAGTACTGTAGAAAAGACACAAAAAGAAAATTAATACCTAGTGTCACCATAGCTTAATATATTAGGAGTAAAACCAGCACAGTATGCCTGGGAGATGGTCCAGGACAAAAATTGTATATAAATGTATAATTATAACTAAAGACAAATGTAAAACTAATCTATTTTAGCAAAATAGGCAACATAGATTAGATAGACATATTTACTAATTTCAGATGGAGACTCCAAACCAAACTTGCTTATTCGCAAAATCAAGATAGCACAAAGATCAATTCTTGAACACAGCATGTTTCCACAAACCTCAACGAAGTTTACAACATGTAAAAGTTAATCCAGCCCATCCTACAGCAAACTTGGAATAACATAAAAGGTGAAAACTCACCAGTCCATAGAAGATGAGACAATGTCTCCATTATCCAAAGCGAGGCAGGTGACCTGCGACTGATGGCCCCTGAGAGTTTGCACCTTCTCCCCAGTCTTCAAGTCCCACACCAATACCATCGTGTCCAAGCCGCCGGACACAATTCCGCCATCTGGGTATTCCTCATTGGGTGAAATCCACACCAATGGGCCCACAAAACTGGTGTGCCCCAGCAGAATCTTCGACTCCGAGTACCGCCTTTCATCGGAAGGGTCCAAGGACCACAGCCTCACAGTTCGATCACGTGACGAGGTGGCTATACCCGCATTTCCGCAAACACAAATTCCACGAACCTAAATTCATTGTTCATCATTTTTTTTCAGTAAACAAATTCATTGCTAAACACTAATTAGTAAATTTCAAATCTTCGTGGGTCTAAAACAATACAGAATTGATCATTCATGCGCAGGATTGTAGATTCAAACAAATTTTGCACAAAAAATGAAAAAGGATTTTGTGGGTGAGAGATCTTACGTCGTCCTCGTGGCCTCGGAGTTGGCAGCGCAATTGATACTCTTTGAAATCGATGTCCATCGGGGAGAGAGAGAGAGAGAGAGAGAGAGAGAGAGGGGTTTAGGTAGTGATCAGAAAGGGGTTTTACTTGAAGTGAAGTTTAGAAGTGGAAGAGCAAAATCACATAACCTTTCGGTTGCAAGAGCATCAGAAAATAGCTTGTTCTCCAAGTTCTTGTAGAGCTAAAATTGTCCGACCTGTAGTTTTCCTCTGTCTTCTTCTTTTTTAATTTGAATTCCGACCTGTCGTTTTACTTATCTTATATGAGTTTACGTTTTACTTTTCTTTATTAACCAATCCAATATGGAATTGAAGTTCAATCTCTTTCAAGTCTCAACATTGAACAAAAATAATTTGCAGTAGTTCGACCCAAAAAAAACAAAAAAAGGATTGAAACTGTGTTGGCAGACATTGAATTCAAGTGATTAAGTGTCTTATTTAGCTGCAGTCGCTTGATGATTTGGATGTCTTGTTGATGTCTTAGTTATTCATTGAAAGTTATCGATTGAAGTTGTTATTTGATTAACAAAAGAAGTTCTCAATTCATCCTTACTGTTAGCAGTTAAACCGTTCATTATATTTATATAAAGTTTCCGAAATTTAACTTTACATTTTTTGGTATTAAGCCTTGCAACTCCGTCCTACTATGCACATATAAAATGTCACAGATAAAATGTTAAAATTCAATCCTTCTTTGTCGATTCAGTTAAAATGACAGAAAAATATACAGTTTGGCGGCACAAAGACACAATAAATCTATGTATTCTCTCATGCAAAATTAAATGGAGATGTACATATATAAAAATAATTTCGGAAAAACTCATATTCCTAATTATACACATATGCTGTAATCAACAAGATTAGGAATTTGCTTTGAAGTGCTTGTACGCCCTTTTCCACGAGGCATCTTCTTCGAAGTTGAGTAATCCTCCTCAACGACGCCGTTCAACTGGTAATAATGTGGAGCTATTTCAACCAACCATTCCGGCTTTATCTCTGTGACCTGTCTCATATATTCCTTGGTAGTAAGTACCAGTTCATGGTACAAAACACATCTAGGAAGCACGTGATGTTCCAATGCCATAGTCCCTGAGCTGGGGTGTATATGGGCAGTGTGCGGATGTTTGATTGTTCTCATAGTCCCTGAGCTGGGGTGTATATGGGCAGTGTGCGGATGTTTGATTGTTCTATAACACCCGTTCTTCTGCAGCCTAGCACAATGAGGGAAGAATCCTGATGTAACGGCCTTCTTTATAGCCTCTAAATCATTTGAGCTACTGAGCTTGATCTCAACCCTCTCCAAGAGGCGCTCGAGTTGATCACGGATGTCTCTTGCTCTTTTCATGCTCCTAACTTGTATGTAGTTTTCGTAACACCATTGCGTCGAGTAATTTGCCTCTTTCCATGCATTGTAAACCTTAAGCAATGCAATGTGATCTCCCACATTCCCACTGTGAAACCTCAACCTTGCAGTGTCAGCATGTACTTGTTTGTCTTTTGGGCGATAGAAGATTGAACTGCCGGTGGAAAGCATGGCAGCAATGGAGATTACCTCATCTGAGCACTTGTACTTGTCCGAGGCAACGATCATTTTAGATAGCATTGGATCAACAGGGAACTCTGCCATCCGTCTGCCAACTTTAGTTAGCTCCCCCACTTTGTTTAATGCACCGAGTGCAAACAACAATTCCAGGGCTTTTAGTAATGCTTCACAAGGTGGAGGGTCCATGAACTCGAAATTCACCAAGTCATCAATGCCGAGGCTCAAATTCACCAAGTCATGAATGCCGAGGCTCTTGAGCGTGAGAACCACATTGGCGAGGTTAGTCCGCTGCACTTCCGGAACTGTGGTATCATCTAAATCACTGTCATAGTTGTAACTTGTATATAACCGGAAGCACTTCCCGTGGCCTGTTCGACCCGCCCGACCTGCCCTTTGCATGGAGGATGCCTTTGAGATCGGGGTGACTTGCAGTGACTCCATCCCACTCCTCGGATTATAAGATTTCATCTTGCTGAAGCCGGGGTCAATGACATATTTGATCCCATCAATAGTTAGAGAGGTCTCTGCAATATTTGTAGCAAGGACAACTTTTCTGGCCCCTTCCGGTGTGGGCTCAAAGATTTTAGCCTGCAGCTCCGTGGGCAGGTTTGCATATATGGGACAGACTATAAGCTCACTAATTTTTGTCCCTAACCCCCTTGTCCTATGTTTGAATATCTCCTCCGCGGTTTCAATTTCTTCCTGACCAGTGAGAAAAACCAATATGTCCCCAGGCGGTTGTGTCACGTGTATCTGAAGTGCAGCCACAATTGCTGCATCTAGGTAATCAGCCTGCGGTGCTTCCATGTAGTGTATATCAACCGGATACCGTCTCCCAGGGATTCTTAAAATCTTGGCGGAATCAAAGAAATCACTGAACTTCTCAGCATCAAGAGTAGCACTTGAAATGATCAGTTTAAGATCAGGTCTATATCGTGCAATGTCCTTGAGCAATCCTAACAAAACATCCGTTGACAGTGTTCTCTCGTGAGCCTCGTCCACCATCACCACACTGTAGCTTGCCAAATCTGGCTCACAAAGGAATTCTCGCAGCAGCATTCCATCTGTCATGTATTTCAAAACAGTCTTCTCCGAGGTGCAGTCCTCGAAACGGATGGAATAACCAACCTCATGCCCAAGCTTGACACCCATCTCTTGAGAAACCCTGGCAGCAACACTCATTGCAGCAATTCGCCGTGGTTGTGTGCACCCGATCTTCTTTCCTCCCCTAGTGTACCCGGCCTCGTGTAGATATTGAGGTATCTGTGTAGTTTTTCCAGATCCAGTTTCGCCAACAATAATAAGAATCTGATTTTTTTCAACATCTTGGAGCAACCTCTCACGAAATGAGTAGATAGGTAATGTTTTCCTCTCCTCCCGCAGCTTATCCAACTCATGGGTTGGTTGCACTTTCCCGACATCACCATTACCGTTAGCAATCATCTGATCACCCTCCAGTAGTACCGACGCCTTGACAAATTCAATCTGGTCTTCAAATACAAAATCATACTCGTCATCACATTTCCGCCTTTTGTTTTTCGAACCAAACTTCAATGTTGCCTTCCCAATTTGCTGATCCTCCCAAGCTTTCTGTTCAGCAAAAGGGTTTGATTTTTTATCCCTGGCATTCAGATCATCATCCCAGCAACGTTGTAAACCCACCGAGAATCGCTTCTCCTGATTAACACCGCCCTCATGATCGTCATGGGGTTCCGGAATCCTGTAGTACTGATCATGATCATGATGAGTAGCAGCCTCATGCTTCGTCGCAAGCTCATATATTTTCTTCTCGTAACTTAATCGATTGTATTCCGCTTCAGTACGCTTAACGTCTTTATACAAGTACTCCTCATCTTCTATAGATTCTCCAAGCTCCTTCAATTTATTTGCCTCCCTTTTCTTTAAATATTCTTGTCTTGAAACTTTTCTTAAAGTTTCAACGTCGCCAACAATATTGCTTCTCCGAGTAGCAAAAGCCTGCTTTTGCTCTGATAGCTTTCGCGTTGCTGCTGCGTCCCGCTCCCTTATATTACGGTCCAATTGCTCCCTTTCTCTTTGATCACGCAATCTCTCTTGTTCAGACTCTGAACCATCATCATTTTCTTCATCATGTGGGGAAGTTGGTTGTCGTTTAACCCCTCTCTCTTTCTCTTTTCTGTTTTGTGCAGTCTCATCTTCATCATCTTCTCGACTCAACACCTTCTTCCTGAACTGTTTCGCCATCTCCAATCCGATCGAAGTTAACCACCGATGGGATTAGTGTTTAGGTTTCTGGAAATCTGTTCTGGCAGAACTAGCTAGTGAAGTTTTTATTGGAATATGCACCCAAAAAACCACACGTTTAAGGATGGCCAGCCAAAACTGTATGCTTCACACATTTTCTTGTAGAGGACTTTATAATATTTATATAGGCAACTGACCGACGTAGAGGATTTCCTAAACCAAGTAGGATTAACTAACCGAAACCCTTTTCGTCATGGACTAGGATTTCCTAAACCAAGTAGGATTTCAAACAGGCTTTATTAACGGAAGCCCCTTTCGACATGGGCTAGGATTTCCTAAACCAATTAGGATTTCAAAACCAGACCAAAAAAAAAAATTAGGATTTCAAAAAGGCGTTCCAGGGTTCATTCTTTTTATTAGCTTTAAATATTGTTAAGTCTATAGTTTGTGACCTAAACTCTTGTGGCACGTTTTTACCAATTGCAACTACCGTAGGTTGCAGAGAAGTTACTACTTTTGGTCACACGATAAATGTTTTCAATAAATTACGTATTGGGATGAAAATTTTCCAGTATATCTCCAACGGTACCAAAAAATTTATAGAAAATAAACGAAAATCCCAATATCCTTATAATCAAATCTGGAAGAAACTTAAAGAATACCATAACGTTCGGTAAATTTTTGGTCGGTTTATATACATATTTTGTCATGTAATTCTAGAGCGCATGTGGGAGGTTCACTTGTTTATCGCCAATAATTACATCCTCCTGACCATTGCTGCAAAAAAAATAAAAATAAAAAATTCAAGGGGTGAGAAAGCTAACCATCAAAACTGCTACAAAATCAATGGAATAGATAGATAAATACCTAAGATAGCTCAGAGCTGACATTCGGTAGAGACAGGTGAACACCAGTATATGCAACCCAATAGTGTAGAAAAATGCAAAAGTCCGAGCATACCTGCACGATAATTCTCCTCAGTAAATTAATCTAGAAATATGTCTGTATTTAGAGACGAAAAACACTTTGAACAGTTATTTTATTAGCACACAAAAATGGTTTGAACACACCCCCTTTCCAATTAAAAAATCATTACGAGGCACTTTCCGAGTAATTGAGAATAAGATTATGTGATCTTACTTTTTGACCCCAAAAAAAAATATATATATTATGTGATCTTACTTGTTGCCAAGAAGAAAACGTCCGCTGCTAAGTGTAATTCTATCCCTGAAACCCAACTCCTTGTACCTTTGATCCCTTTCCTGTTACGAGTCAATTAAGTTTAATATACGATATCTAACAAATAAAGGAAAGTAAAAAAGAATAAATCCCAAGATGAAAGCATCTTTGATAACAAACTTATAATTTCACCAGAAAGTAAAAATTAGCAACCTTTTTCGAGAAGGCTGCAAAAGGATTTATGTCATCCTCATATATCTTCTTGTATTTGGATTCAACATCTGAGGAGAAACCACCTTCAAGATCCTCTGCAGGCTGAAATTACCACAAAAAGGAACAGAATATATTAAGGAACTAAAAGCACTCTGACCAAAAAAGTGAAAAAGGTACTAAAAGCACATAATAGGATGAAAATAGCAACATATGTAGAGTACCTTTTTTGATCCTCTAGAAACTACTTTTTCAAGACTGTAATCCTGAACATAACGAATCTTTCCATAGAGTTTAACATTATCAGCTTTTGTCTTTTCCAGTTCTGCTGTTAACGCTCCTATCCTTTCCTTCAACTGCCTTATTTCCTAATACAACAAAATCAGTCAGCAAAGTCAAATGATTGGACCAGTAAAATCAGCCTGCGGTGCTTCCATGTAGTGTATATCAACCGGATACCGTCTCCCAGGGATTCTTAAAATCTTGGCGGAATCAAAGAAATCACTGAACTTGTCAGCATCAAGAGTAGCACTTGAAATGATCAGTTTAAGATCAGGTCTATATCGTGCAATGTCCTTGAGCAATCCTAACAAAACATCCGTTGACAGTGTTCTCTCGTGAGCCTCGTCCACCATCACCACACTGTAGCTTGCCAAATCTGGCTCACCAAGGAATTCTCGCAGCAGCATTCCATCTGTCATGTATTTCAAAACAGTCTTCTCCGAGGTGCAGTCCTCGAAACGGATGGAATAACCAACCTCATGCCCAAGCTTGACACCCATCTCTTGAGAAACCCTGGCAGCAACACTCATTGCAGCAATTCGCCGTGGTTGTGTGCACCCGATCTTCTTTCCTCCCCTAGTGTACCCGGCCTCGTGTAGATATTGAGGTATCTGTGTAGTTTTTCCAGATCCAGTTTCGCCAACAATAATAAGAATCTGATTTTTTTCAACATCTTGGAGCAACCTCTCACGAAATGAGTAGATAGGTAATGTTTTCCTCTCCTCCCGCAGCTTATCCAACTCATGGGTTGGTTGCACTTTCCCGACATCACCATTACCGTTAGCAATCATCTGATCACCCTCCAGTAGTACCGACGCCTTGACAAATTCAATCTGGTCTTCAAATACAAAATCATACTCGTCATCACATTTCCGCCTTTTGTTTTTCGAACCAAACTTCAATGTTGCCTTCCCAATTTGCTGATCCTCCCAAGCTTTCTGTTCAGCAAAAGGGTTTGATTTTTTATCCCTGGCATTCAGATCATCATCCCAGCAACGTTGTAAAGCCACCGAGAATCGCTTCTCCTGATTAACACCGCCCTCATGATCGTCATGGGGTTCCGGAATCCTGTAGTACTGATCATGATCATGATGAGTAGCAGCCTCATGCTTCGTCGCAAGCTCATATATTTTCTTCTCGTAACTTAATCGATTGTATTCCGCTTCAGTACGCTTAACGTCTTTATACAAGTACTCCTCATCTTCTATAGATTCTCCAAGCTCCTTCAATTTATTTGCCTCCCTTTTCTTTAAATATTCTTGTCTTGAAACTTTTCTTAAAGTTTCAACGTCGCCAACAATATTGCTTCTCCGAGTAGCAAAAGCCTGCTTTTGCTCTGATAGCTTTCGCGTTGCTGCTGCGTCCCGCTCCCTTATATTACGGTCCAATTGCTCCCTTTCTCTTTGATCACGCAATCTCTCTTGTTCAGACTCTGAACCATCATCATTTTCTTCATCATGTGGGGAAGTTGGTTGTCGTTTAACCCCTCTCTCTTTCTCTTTTCTGTTTTGTGCAGTCTCATCTTCATCATCTTCTCGACTCAACACCTTCTTCCTGAACTGTTTCGCCATCTACAATCCGATCGAAGTTAACCACCGATGGGATTAGTGTTTAGGTTTCTGGAAATCTGTTCTGGCAGAACTAGCTAGTGAAGTTTTTATTGGAATATGCACCCAAAAAACCACACGTTTAAGGATGGCCAGCCAAAACTGTATGCTTCACACATTTTCTTGTAGAGGACTTTATAATATTTATATAGGCAACTGACCGACGTAGAGGATTTCCTAAACCAAGTAGGATTAACTAACCGAAACCCTTTTCGTCATGGACTAGGATTTCCTAAACCAAGTAGGATTTCAAACAGGCTTTATTAACGGAAGCCCTTTTCGACATGGGCTAGGATTTCCTAAACCAATTAGGATTTCAAAACCAGACCAAAAAAAAAAATTAGGATTTCAAAAAGGCGTTCCAGGGTTCATTCTTTTTATTAGCTTTAAATATTGTTAAGTCTATAGTTTGTGACCTAAACTCTTGTGGCACGTTTTTACCAATTGCAACTACCGTAGGTTGCAGAGAAGTTACTACTTTTGGTCACACGATAAATGTTTTCAATAAATTACGTATTGGGATGAAAATTTTCCAGTATATCTCCAACGGTACCAAAAAATTTATAGAAAATAAACGAAAATCCCAATATCCTTATAATCAAATCTGGAAGAAACTTAAAGAATACCATAACGTTCGGTAAATTTTTGGTCGGTTTATATACATATTTTGTCATGTAATTCTAGAGCGCATGTGGGAGGTTCACTTGTTTATCGCCAATAATTACATCCTCCTGACCATTGCTGCAAAAAAAATAAAAATAAAAAATTCAAGGGGTGAGAAAGCTAACCATCAAAACTGCTACAAAATCAATGGAATAGATAGATAAATACCTAAGATAGCTCAGAGCTGACATTCGGTAGAGACAGGTGAACACCAGTATATGCAACCCAATAGTGTAGAAAAATGCAAAAGTCCGAGCATACCTGCACGATAATTCTCCTCAGTAAATTAATCTAGAAATATGTCTGTATTTAGAGACGAAAAACACTTTGAACAGTTATTTTATTAGCACACAAAAATGGTTTGAACACACCCCCTTTCCAATTAAAAAATCATTACGAGGCACTTTCCGAGTAATTGAGAATAAGATTATGTGATCTTACTTTTTGACCCCAAAAAAATATATATATATTATGTGATCTTACTTGTTGCCAAGAAGAAAACGTCCGCTGCTAAGTGTAATTCTATCCCTGAAACCCAACTCCTTGTACCTTTGATCCCTTTCCTGTTACGAGTCAATTAAGTTTAATATACGATATCTAACAAATAAAGGAAAGTAAAAAAGAATAAATCCCAAGATGAAAGCATCTTTGATAACAAACTTATAATTTCACCAGAAAGTAAAAATTAGCAACCTTTTTCGAGAAGGCTGCAAAAGGATTTATGTCATCCTCATATATCTTCTTGTATTTGGATTCAACATCTGAGGAGAAACCACCTTCAAGATCCTCTGCAGGCTGAAATTACCACAAAAAGGAACAGAATATATTAAGGAACTAAAAGCACTCTGACCAAAAAAGTGAAAAAGGTACTAAAAGCACATAATAGGATGAAAATAGCAACATATGTAGAGTACCTTTTTTGATCCTCTAGAAACTACTTTTTCAAGACTGTAATCCTGAACATAACGAATCTTTCCATAGAGTTTAACATTATCAGCTTTTGTCTTTTCCAGTTCTGCTGTTAACGCTCCTATCCTTTCCTTCAACTGCCTTATTTCCTAATACAACAAAATCAGTCAGCAAAGTCAAATGATTGGACCAGTAATCTAGCCATATGATATGGCAGATTAAAAAACTAAAGCAATTATGGATGTTTGAAAATAAACAACGTACTTCTTCTGTCTCTCTCAAGCGTGTCCTGAATCGATCTCGCTGGTTACAGATAACCTTAAGCATTGAGCTTTGGTCTTGGTCCGAGGAAATGTGCTTTTGATCTGCATTCTGATTCAGAAAGGCTATTAGATTTAGAACAAGATAAACTAATGTGAAACCAAATGATTAGCTAACCAAAGAGAGTAATATGGAATTTATATTACATGTCAAGATCTGTCATTTAAGTATAAATTAGCAATTAGCTAAATTAGCAATTAGCACAGAAAGTTCACGAGTATATTAATAAAAAAATATGTTACATATTTTGACGATTAAATTGTCAAAAGGCTCAAAACCAAATAGGCCGGGTGCCAGTGATATAATCATTGTGAACAAATTTGGCAATCATCACCAATGTTGTTAAGTGAATATACTAAAGCACTAGCATGCAGTCTAAAACCTTCCAAAACCTACCGGTCCAGTTGCTGAAGTTATTCACAGGCATCAGCATGCGATGTACATACTCTCAAATTTGCAAAAACCGAAACAACAAAACTTAATGTATTTTGCTAAGAATGCATGATATGCTTCAATGAGGACTACCCAATAACAATACGATTAACTAGGTGATTTCAAACTTTCTTACACCTTAACGTCATGATATCTCCCAAGAATAAAAATCTTTGATTGAGGACTAATACTAACAAAGCAGCCAGGAAGAAAAGAGATTGCATTATTGCAGCAAAGAAGTATATTTTCGAAATTATAGACCTTATGACTGATGGACTTTTATGTGGAGAAAAATATTTGTCAAATATTCAGAAATTTGTTGTGCCAAAAATTAGAGAAACGGAGATATGTAGAGGGGAGGCAGGGAGAGAGATGAGGGGTACCTCAGACACCTCAGTACTCCTAGCCTCTGAAAGATCCCAGTCATCAAATAGGATTCCCTTCTTATCCTTGGAACTATAGCCCTGCATTAGAAAGGGAAAAGTAAAATTTAGAAAAATCGTGGGGGCAACTAGCGTACATAGTTATACGTCATATGATGGTGGCACATATGTGCATGAGAGTTTGAATGTGTCTACGTCAATATTTATAAAATCTAAAGTAACTCCATTTGTCAACATTGTAACTGAAAAAAAAAAAGTTGAATATATCCATATACTTTGATCCCCACCTTCAGTATGTCATCCTCCAACTTTTGGATTAACTTTTGTTGTTCATTAACCTTTACTGTAAGTTCTGCTGTCTTGCCATCAGCTTTTTCCAGCAACAATGCTTTCTCAGAAAGTTTGACCTGAAAGCAGCACAATAAAAAATACATCAGACAAATGACAGATAATCTATCCTTTCCTTCAACTGCCTTATTTCCTAATACAACAAAATCAGTCAGCAAAGTCAAATGATTGGACCAGTAATCTAGCCATATGATATGGCAGATTAAAAAACTAAAGCAATTATGGATGTTTGAAAATAAACAACGTACTTCTTCTGTCTCTCTCAAGCGTGTCCTGAATCGATCTCGCTGGTTACAGATAACCTTAAGCATTGAGCTTTGGTCTTGGTCCGAGGAAATGTGCTTTTGATCTGCATTCTGATTCAGAAAGGCTATTAGATTTAGAACAAGATAAACTAATGTGAAACCAAATGATTAGCTAACCAAAGAGAGTAATATGGAATTTATAGTACATGTCAAGATCTGTCATTTAAGTATAAATTAGCAATTAGCACAGAAAGTTCACGAGTATATTAATAAAAAAATATGTTACGTATTTTGACGATTAAATTGTCAGAAGGCTCGAAACCAAATAGGCCGGGCGCCAGTGATATAATCATTGTGAACAAATTTGGCAATCATCACCAATGTTGTTAAGTGAATATACTAAAGCACTAGCATGCAGTCTAAAACCTTCCAAAACCTACCGGTCCGGTTGCTGAAGTTATTCACAGGCATCAGCATGCGATGTACATACTCTCAAATTTGCAAAAACCGAAACAACAAAACTTAATGTATTTTGCTAAGAATGCATGATATGCTTCAATGAGGACTACCCAATAACAATACGATTAACTAGGTGATTTCAAACTTTCTTACACCTTAACGTTATGATATCTCCCAAGAATAAAAATCTTTGATTGAGGACTAATACTAACAAAGCAGCCAGGAAGGAAAGAGATTGCATTATTGCAGCAAAGAAGTATATTTTCGAAATTATAGACCCTATGACTGATGGACTTTTATGTGGAGAAAAATATTTGTCAAATATTCAGAAATTTGTTGTGCCAAAAATTAGAGAAACGGAGATATGTAGAGGGGAGGCAGGGAGAGAGATGAGGGGTACCTCAGACACCTCAGTACTCCTAGCCTCTGAAAGATCCCAGTCATCAAATAGGATTCCCTTCTTATCCTTGGAACTATAGCCCTGCATTAGAAAGGGAAAAGTAAAATTTAGAAAAATCGTGGGGGCAACTAGCGTACATAGTTATGCATCATATGATGGTGGCACATATGTGCATGAGAGTTTGAATGTGTCTACGTCAATATTTATAAAATCTAAAGTAACTCCATTTGTCAAAATTGTAACTGAAAAAAAAAAGTTGAATATATCCATATACTTTATATAGTTCATATCATGGAAGACAAAGTAACACACTCATTCAGGCCCACAATGAGCCTTTGATCCCCACCTTCAGTATGTCATCCTCCAACTTTTGGATTAACTTTTGTTGTTCATTAACCTTTACTGTAAGTTCTGCTGTCTTGCCATCAGCTTTTTCCAGCAACAATGCTTTCTCCGAAAGTTTGACCTGAAAGCAGCACAATAAAAAATACATCAGACAAATGACAGATTAGTAATAGAATAGGTATCAATCTCTGACAAGAGCTAGACAGTAATCCAATCAAATGCGTCTGCACATGCATGCATGTCTTCATACTTTCAACTGTGTGAGTTCATGCTCCATTTTCCGGTTTTTATCAAGAAGAAGAGACTCCATTTTGCTCATCTCTTCCCCGCTTGTGGCTACTTCCCAATCTTCAGCCTCAATTGAATTATAACCCACTGCCTACAAATATAATAATGTGAAGTTAAAGAGGGATTAACAGAACACTGTTGGGGTACCAGGAAAATGAGAACAATGCTTCA